CCAATATGCAGTGACACTCTTTGTCCCTTCTGACTAATTTTAATTTGAAATCTGTTGGATATGCCTATAGTGACTATTGCTTTATTTTGTTTTCTAGATGGTTGGAGTATAATTTTCCATTCTTTTACTTTCATTCTGTGTCTTAGTCATTCTTTTCACCAAAGACAAAATACCTGATGGCTGCAATTAAAGTGAAGAGAGTTAAAAAAACAACTTTTATTGGTGCATGTTTGCAGTACACAATGATTACATTTTTCCTGGGGGTGCTGGCATTTGTTTATAATACCTCATAATTCCTTTTTCCGTCCCCTTTCCCTCCCTTCCTCTTCTCTCATCCCTCCATCTCTTGGCTTCTTTAAGGAAAGAGAGTTTATTTTGGCTCACATTTCAGTCCATAGTATTCTGGCTGCAAGGCAGCACAGCATGGCACACGGAAATGTCAGAGGAATAGCTGCTCATCTCATGACATTTCATAGCACAGAGAGTCAAGGGAGGAGCCAAGAAAGGAGATACATAACCTTCCAGGTCATGCGACAGTGATTGGCCTCTTCTGACCAGATCCCACCTCCTAGCATCAGGCCATGTATAATGCCCCTATAATCTAATCAGCTTCCGAAAGCTTTGCCTTGTAGGTACATGAGGCTCTAGGGAACGACCACAACATTCTGTACAGATTTTTTTTTTTTTGGTACAGGGGATCAAACTCAGGACCTTTATTCTGTATAGATCTTTATAGGTGAAATATATTTATTGAAAGCAGAATATAATTTTTATTTTCTAATCCAACCTTTTTCAGTCTTTTGATTGAAAGAATTTTGATGGAAGAAGTAAGACCATTTATATTCAGGGTTCCTGAAATGTATGTACAAATTTCTATTGTGCTTGTTGTTTTCTAGTGTTTGATTTATTCCCTATTCTCATTTGTGTACTCTTCTTTGAGATTTATTCTTGTTTGTGTTTTGTGGTTGTGTTCAGGATGCTTTTAAGTATTTTTTCAGTGCTGCTTAGCTATCATGAATTCCTCTAGTTTTTGCTCATTTTGGAAGATCTTTATTTCTCCTTCAATTCTGAAGAATATCCTTGTGTGATATAGTAATCTAGCTTGGCAGTTATTTTCATTCAGGATTTGAAATGATCATTCCAAGGCCTTCTGGTCTTAAGAGTTTTGCTGAGAAATCATCTATTATTCTGATGAATTCATCATTATAAATGGTTTGGCTTTTTTACCCTAAAGTTAATATTCTTTGTAATGAATTTTGGCAATTTGACTATATTATGTCATGAAGCATTTCTTTCTTAGTCATGTTAATTTGGGGTTCAAATAGCCTCTAGTACCTTGACATCCATCTCATTTCTCAGATTTGGGAAATAGTCTCCTATTGTTTCATTGAATAGATTTGTATGCCATTAAGCTAGATTTTCTTGGCTCACAACTTTTAAATTTGGTCTTTTAATATTGTCCTACAGCTCTTGTTCATAGGTATTTATTCACAGATTCTTATCTTTTTGTGCTTTATTACTGTCCAAATGTTTTAGTAAATTTACCTTGTTTTCAAGCCCTGATAGTCTTTCTTTTGCTTAATCTAGCCTACCAGCAAGACTTTCAATTGAGTTTTTAATTTGATTTATTGTACTTTTTATTTCTAAAGTTTCTGTTTGGTCTTTTTCAGAATCCCTCTCTCTTTCCAGAAATGGCTTTTTGAATAATGCGTTATCTTCCTTAATTCATTCAGGTGTTTGTATCTTCTTTATCTATCATTTGCACAACTGGGATGGTTGAGTGATTGTGTCCACTTGAGAAGTTTGGTTAAGAGAAGCTTGACTAAATTGGCTCAGCAACTCCCTATCTTAGGGGATGGGAGAGCCACCCTAGGGCAGCTTGTTTCCTGGATGTTAGTTATAAAGGGGAAACAAGGAAGGACAGAGCCACTTCTGTTCCTCTGGAAGAGTTCTCATCATTGCCTTGGATGTCATCTCCTGCTGAAAGCACAGACTCTTTAGCTTCCAGTGAAGATCCTTCAGTCTTCTTCCAGGGTAGATTCATCAGCCTTCCATCCCAGACCCATCGGCCTCCCGATATGGACTTACACAGGACACTGCAGTGAGCTTCAGATCCTCAGTCTCCAGTGTGAAGGCAGAGCCTCGGGACTCTTCCTCATTTGACTTACTTGGTGGCCACGGTAGGCCAATCTTGTAAATTCTTTTTTTTTTTGGTACTGGGGATCAAAATCGGGATTTTGTGCTTGCAAGGCAGGCGGCAGAACCACTGAGCTAAAATCCCAGTCCATAAATTCTTATATATTTATGTATCTATAGCATTATATCTGTTTCTCTAGTGAATACCGACTGATACAACAACCAGTTTTTTGAATTCTTTGGCATTTAATCCACTTCAAAATCATGAGATTAGTTACTGGAGAGTTATGAACTTTGGAGGCATCTGAGTGTCTTGTTATGTTTCTTGTGTTTTTGTGTTGATATGTGTACATCAGCTGGGATGGATATCTTTTCCATGATTGTGTGGGTTTTTTTATTAAGTGGATTTCTCTTTAATTTGTATCCATTGTTGTGTGTGTCTCCAAGTGAAAGTACTCACTCAACCTGTTCAGAGTGCTGGGTTCAATTCTCAGAACTGTTTTTAGAGGAGACAATAACTCGTAGTAACAACAAGTAAACATCCAACAATATATCAACATTTAACAATATTCTAAAAGACTTCTACTATTTCACTAATTTAGGAAAAGAAGGGGGGTAATGATATAGAATAGGCTAGAAAAAAATTAGGCATTAATAACAGTGAGATTAATATTAAAAGATTTTAGAAGCGGGTAAAAGGGTAGAAGGTAAGAGAAGAAAGAGAAAGAAAGAAGGGAAGGGAAGGAAATATAAATGGGAAGGGGAAGAAGAAAACAGAAGCATAAAGCATTAGGTAAGCCTATGAAAACATTATTAATAAGGGGAAATGTCACAAACCAACGTAGAACACAACAGAAGCAAAAACTAACAAAAAACAGGACCAATATTCCTCCTGTGAAGGTATTTAAATTAGCAACATTTGTTTTTTCTCCCAGACCTGTAATATTGAATTATTCCTGGTATAAGGAGGGTTGTGAAAAACATTTTCAGTCCAGAGTTTTCCTTTTCACCCTCTGTCCAATGAGGCCAAACCATCTGGGGCATTCTGTGAGCTGAACCCTGGCTCTCCCTGATCACAGGTGAGTGCTAAGGTGTAGTTTTAAGTTGTGGGAATAGATTCACAGGCTATATCTCATGTTTTTAGGCATCTGGGAATGAGGGTGGATCATTGGAGCTGCTTGCCAAGTGTCTTGTTGGCCTAGCCTGTGTACTGATGTGGATTGTTGGTCCTAGTTTTTGAGATTACCAGGCCCTGCTCATTGAGGTGTGACTGGCGAGTGTCTGAGTGGCTGTGCATACTTTGGATGCCTAAGTGCAAGGTAGAGGTGGGTGGGTGCGCAGCATAGTTATGCTGGGATGAGAAGCCACAGGCACACACTTTCCATCAGTACCAAGTGTTGATCTGAGCCCTAGTCCTCCACCTCCCACAATCTACACTTGGCTCATATCTTTCCTGTCATAATGTTCAAAGCACTTTAAAAAACCACAACTTTTCATTTGGAGGCTGCCTAAGCATCTTTCTGCCTGGAAGCTAGTGTTCTGTCCAGTACAGCATCCTTTTGGCCACCCAGCAGCTGCCATTCTCCATGACTATTGGAATGCACTCCCTGCTGTCCAGCAGCTGGTGTAATTACTACCAGTGTTGCCTGGCAGCTGCACTGGCTCACTTTATGTAGCCTGAAGCTGGGTTTCATATAGCTTGGAGCTGGTGCACCTTCACCCCCCACCCCTGTATTCATAGCTAATCCGTGTGGACAGTCACCATTCTCTTGGGCCAAGTGGGCTCTTAGGGAGACTGCCTTCTGTGTCTCTGGAGAGATGACTCTTGCATCTTGAAGATATAAAAAATGTTGGAGGCTGAGGCAGGGGTATTTTAAGTTGGAACCCAGCCTGGAGCAACTTAGCAAGACCCTGTCTCAAAATAAGAAATAAAAAAAAGGGCTGGGGATGTAGCTTAGTGTAAGGCACTGGTTCTATCCTCAGTAACACACACACACACACACACACACACACACACACACACACACACACACACACACACAGAGTCAGACAGACAGACACAGATTTCTGTTCTCCTGCACAGTCAACCCAGATGATGGGTTAATTCTTCCTTTTCTTTTCTTTGCAACAAATAAACCCAGGGCCTCAGAACCTCACACTTGCTAGGCAAGTGGTCTGCCACTGAGCTGCATTCTCAGTCCAGGGACTTTTTCTTTTTCTTTTCCTTTTTTTATATTGGGGATCAAACTCCAGTCCTTGTGCTTACAAGGCAGGCGGTGGCACAACTGAGCTAAATCCCTGGCCAGGGACATTTCTTAAGATCGCTCCCCATCCTGGTCCTAAGTCCACTGGGAAATACTGGAAAAGATGCCTCTGCATCAGGCCACTTGGCAGGATAAAGGTCACCCTTCTGCTCAGACTGCATATTAGTTCAGTAGCAGAGTCTACATTGTTTACACTGTGCTGAATTCTCTCCTTCAGCTTGTTGGAAGGGCAAGTTTCTCCCTCACACTGAGATGCCCTGTGTTCAATGCTGGTGCATTCCATTTCTGTTACTTCACCTATTATTCTAATTTCTAATGGGTCTGAGTTTTACCTGATGGCTGACTCAGTCCAGTGCAGTCCACCAATTTCCCGTGGCTCCGTTGACCCCCATCTCATCATCTAATTGCAGACTTGGTAATGGGAAGAATATCCTAGAGCAGCCTGTGATTGCTGCTTGTGTCTTGTCTGCCACAATGCTCTTACTAGTCTGTCTTCTAGATTTTTGTATGGACCACATGGGGCAATTTTTAATAACATTCTCACATGGAAGTCCACATTAATATAGAAATATACTCCATAGTAGTGCATAAAATACATACCAGAGATTGGCAACATTTTCAGCAGCTCCCAAAGTTCCCTATTTGTGAGCTCTATCCCCGTGTTTCTCAGTACTTTTTGTATGTCTTTGGCTTCAATTTCTCCTCCTTTTAAATTAAAAAATAGAAACAGTGATAGTAAAATGGCCTATTGACTCTAAATGCTTAAAAAAATCTAAGCTTGTACAGTATTATCTGTTTTCAGATGAAGAACATGGGAAATGGAAGTTAATTCTTTAAATTTAAACAAAGTTTTCATTTACAGTGGTATAAATTACCTCTGAGAAGTTAGCCCAACTCATAGTAAAGGTGGCCCAGTGGTCTAAGTGTGTACAAGTTGTTACTTAATCTAAATCATATTACCATTAGTTAAAAATCTGTGTTACTCTTTGTTTTACCTGAATTATGAGGTAGGTTATCTCTACTGACCACGTTGTTTGGATTCCTATCATGTTTTGTCTTAATACTTACTGGGTTACAGTAAGTGCAAGTAAGTGCTTTGAATGAATGAACAGGTGGGTTGCTTGTGCAATCATTGTGAAACGAGTCACAAAATAAAAATGCTGTTTCAGAGCATATACAGAACTTTGTATAGAAATGCACTACTGCAAGATTTTGCTAAAACATAAATAATTCAATGCAATCTTCATGTTATTAGAACTAGACGTTATTAACTAAAGAAGTTGCATTTAATTCAACGGCAGGACATGAAAATTCAATTTTAAATATATGTGAATGTGAAGTATTTGCATTTTAGTTTTGCATCTTTTCTCAAAATATCTTGCTCACCTGTATATTTCTTTATTTCTTTTATCAGTTTATGCAGATTAATCATCCCAGAAGCTAAAACATAAAGCACAATTCAGACATATGTGATGTGTACTTAGAAATATTCTTAATAAGAATTTTTCTTTATGATTTGTTTTGTATTATAGCCTAACAACATATGAGTATCAGTAGGGAGAATTATTCTCTATTAACTTTCATAGTTTACTCTGTCTCTGCTAAGCTATTAACCTCTACACACCATGAACATCTCCTTTCTGAGATTTGTTCTTTTTACATTACACTGTCCTCTGCCAGGTTCCAGAAATAGAAAAAGTTTCAGTTTGGAATGTTAAACTATTTTTCTTACTGAATACTGTCCCATACCAATACACCCCACTTAGCTTAACCTACTGTATTTTGTTCCTGGTAGATATGTTCATTATATACTAAAAGGTTGTAAATGTTTTAAGCAAAGAATATATTTTTTCTGTATTTCATTCAGACAATTAACATAACATAACACAACTAGCACAAGGCTTTGCAAATAGCATAATTATACCCTTTTGTCACTCCCCGTGTTTGAGATTGAACCCAAGGCCTCACATGTGATACCAAAGCACTCTACCATTGAGCTACACCCACAACCTCTGATTAAACACTTTGAATGATGGACTGGAATGTATTACAATGGCAGAATTAGCTCTCAGATCAGTATATTTTCCTACAATTGCAGGTTAGTATATTTTTAGGGCAAAAAGGAAACTGAAAACTATGTACCCTATTGGTATTTTCTTACAGAAAGGATACACTATTATTTTGGGACCCTATTCTTCTTCCAAGGTAGTTTCTCTTATACATGCTCTATATAATTCACTAGCAGATTTGTACTTTGAGAATTTTTACTATATATAGAATGATATATTACATAAAACTTTCATGGAGTACAGGAAGCAAATATATGTTAAAAATAAAGCTAAGGGCTGTGGAAGACAGAGATGGTGTAAAATGCATTTAGTTAGAGCTCCAAAATAAATAAAAGACTACAGGGGTAAGACAAAATTGGAAGAGAATAATGGCTGAGAATTTTCCAGGTCCAATAAAAGATTCCAATTTTTAGATTAAAAAAGCCCAATGAATCCCAAGGAATATAAATAAAAATATATCTACTGCTATCTTTCGCATCATAGTGAAACTTCCGAACCAAAGACAAATGCCCTAAAAACAAAAACAAAAGCAAACAACAAAAGATTATCTTGCAAGGATCAATAATGAGATTTATGGCTTACTTTTCATGACTTATAGTTAGTAGCGTTAGTAAGCATTAGATAGTGAAATAATGTTTACATGTGCTGAAAGACAATAATTATCTAATTGGAATTCTGGATCCAGAGAAAATATGTATCAAGAGCAGAACAAAACAAAGATACTTTTTTAATACCAGAAAGACTATTTTTCTCTAACCAATCCTTAATAAAGAAAATTAGGCAGGAGGAAGAATAATCCTAAAGGAAAGATCAGAGGTGCAAAGAAGAATAAAAAGCAAAGAATAAGTAAATATCTGGGTAAATCTGCCTTTATAAAGCATTACTACCATGGAGACCTCCAGGGCAGCAGGGGAGAGAAGCACAGCGTGTGCATCTGTGTGTGTGTGTGTGTGTGTGTGTGTGTGTGTGTGTGTGTGTGTGTGTGTGTGTGTGTATGTGTGGCTATGTGGCAAGGAGTCCCTGTCACGGTTACTGTCGCTGCCTGTAGCTGGTGGACTGGGGTGGGAGAGAAGAGGAAATGGCAGGATGAAGTTTGAGGAGAACCTCTCTGTGCACATTATTACTGAGTAGAGGAAGTGGAAGGAGAAATACATCCAGTCTGAGGCTTTTAAGAATATGCTGTTGGAGTATATTTCATAGAACTTGAGAAAACAATCCAAAAATTCACTTGGAACCAGAACAGACCTAGAATAGCAAAAGCCATTCTAGGCAACAGAGACAGGGCAGGGGGTATCAAAATTCCTAACTAGAAACTATACTACAAAGCCACTGTGATAAAACAGCATGGTATTGGCAAAGAAACAGACCCAGATCAATGGAATAGATTAGAAGATGCAGAAAAAAACATCAGACATATTCAGCTACCTCACTTTGACAAAGGAGCGAACCATTGTCATTGGAGGAAAGATAGCCTCTTTAATAAATGGTGTTGGAAAAACTGGCTTTCAACTTGTCAAACATTAAAACTAGATCCCTATCTTTCACCATGCACTAAACTGAAACTGAAGTAGACTAAAGATCTAAGTATCAAAACAGAAACACTAAACTTACTGGAAAGTAAATTAGGTTGAACTCTTGAAGACATTGGCATAGCAGAAGACTTTATGAACAAATCCTCAGCAGCACAAGAACTTGCACAAAGAATCAACAACTGGGATCTCATTGTATTAAAAAGTTTTTGCAGTGCAAGAGAAACTAACAAAGCCAAAAGACAACCTACAATGTGGGAAAAAATTTTTACCAGCTACTCCTCAGACAAAGGTCTACTATCTAGAATATATAAAGAACTCAAAAAAATCAGACCCCCCAAATACAAAGACCCATTACAAAAATGAGCATCTGAAATGAACAGACATTTCTCAGACAAAAGTAAAAGCTGCAAATAAATATACGAAAAATGCTCAACATCACTGGTCATTTGAGAGATGTAGATGAAAGCAACACTGAGATTCCACCTCACCCCAGAAAGAATGGCTAAAACAAAACAAAACAAAACAAAAGCAAAAACAAATGAAAAGCCGTAAGACATTTTACCTGCCTGAATAGGATTGGCATTACATTTAGCATTTTAGGACTGGGAATATAATTCAAAGATATAGCACTTGCCTACCATGCACGGGGTCCTGAGTTCAAAAAAAATTCACTATTTAACAAATTAATACAAATATGAGGAAAAGTAAAATGTGTTTTAAACACCTGCTCAGCAAGACTCAGAGATTCCAAAGGCAACATCAGTAGACTTTCTGCTTAATTTGAGATAAAGGAGCAAATAAGTAAAAAGGCTGCTGTAGACACTTGCTTTCTCTTAAAAACATGCAGTGAATTGCCCTTTTATTCACCATTTTTTTCATTCAGCTTTTTACTGTGTATGATAAACCTTTACTCAAGCTATCATACTTGTAGTAAATTGTATTAAAGTTATTCTTACTAACAAAATTCTGCCAATTAATTGACAAGTGGTTTCTTTTTTTTCTTTATTCTGCAAGTTTCCAAAATGTGTTCTCTTTCTGAATCAAGATTTTTTCCTGAAAAATCATACAATTTTGTAGCTCTTATTGCTTTTTGTGTGTTTTGTCAAGCATATCCCTTGTTGCAAAAGTAAAGAGAAAATGTTTACTTTTTCATTTTTATCTTTAACTATATTAAAATCTTTATAATAAAATACTACTACTAAAATTTTGCTAAATTGAAATAAAACAAGATACAATTAAGGTATAAGAATATCATTAATATAGAGGAGAAAAGTAGGGTTAAGATGTTCCTAGGTCTTCCTGTTATTCAAGAGGAAATGCATTTGGAGAGGTATACTCCAAATGCACTTTTGTACTGTTTTTTAGCAAATCTCGGCAATAGAAATAGAGACTCAAATAACTGGGCTGATCAAATGTTGAAAGAATCATAGAGCAGGAATAACAGGAGTATTTAAAAGTAAAGCAGGTTAGAAGACTTTTTATGTATTGGAAGAAAATGGAGAAATCCAGGGACAAATATTTTTGATGAACATGCAGGGCACATTTCTTGAGATTAAGAACTGGACATCTATGTTATTATTTCCTTTCAAAATTTTTATTAGTATGTGTTTGTAGTAAGTAATGATTGCATGCATCATGGGGAGTTGGTACATAACACATATTCTTTTTTCATACCTTTCCTCTTTTCTTTCTCCATCTCTTCATCCCCTTGCTTTTAGCAAAAGATCTATCTCTCTGTTTCCTATTATCTGTCTTTTATTTTTCTCTATAATTTGCTTATATGGTGGGATTCTCATGCAAGAGAAACTACGTGATATTTAAGCTTGTAGTTGTCTGATTTATTCACTTAACATTATGGTTTCAAGGTACATCCATATTTCTACAAATAACTCAAATTTATATCCTTCTTTATGGCAGAGTAGTACTCTATTGTGTATAAACAGAGTACATTTTCTTTATCCATTCATCTATTGATGTATGTACATCACGATATATATATACATGATGTATACACATGATGTACATATAGGCTACTTCTAAGATTTAGCTATTATGAGTTGTGCTGCTATAAACATGGGTGTGCATGTATCACTATAATATGATGTCTTTAACTCTTTTGGGAATATACCTAGAAGGGAAATTCTAATGGTTGGGTCAATGGAATTTCTAGTTTTAGTTTTTTGAGGAGTTGCCATATTGATATGCATAGTGATTGTACTAGCTAGCTTACTACTAATACAGAGAGGGGAATTCTTTTCCCTAAAGGCTCATCAGCATATCTGGTTTCTTGAAGATAGCCATCTTTTTGGAGTAAGGTGAAATCTCAGCGTTGTTTTGAAGTCTATTTTAAAATGAAGGTAGGCTATTGCTGTTCAAAATTTCTAATGCCGAGAAGGGATGGGACCAGAAAGGAATAAAGTGAACTAACGCCAAAATACAGGAAGAGGAGATCAGGAAATTGGTATATCACCAAACAGGACATAGATTAATTTGATGGCAGGACTTTTTAAAATCATGGAAATGATGCAATTAGTTTGAAATCATCAGCCTCTTCTTTGTAGCTAATAAGCTGTTTTACTTCAGCTTCTCTTAAGTAACGATTCATCTCTTATTTGCTCTAGCATATGTGCTACATACTCTAAAATTAATGAAGCTGCACTAAATCAAAATATGTTCTTATATAGATATATAGACTAGGATGTTCCTAAGATTTAAAAAGTCATAGTAGTACCAAAACAGAACTAGCTATAATAATTTTCATACATAAATATATAAATCTACATTTCCTTAAAAATCTACTACCCATTGTACTCACTGTCAACTGGTAGGTTTTTTTGTC